CGTTGATTATGAAAAAGGGTCTTGATTATATATGATGTAGGAGGTAAAGCAGATAGGAGTTCAATGGAGTAATCAATTTAGTAAAAGGCTGTAAAATAAGTAAAATACTTTAATACCAATCTAATAAGTTTAAGCCACTTGATATAATTTTCACAAATTTATTATTTTTAATGTTAATTTTCTTTTGTACCTTTTGGAGTAGTGTACCTCACAATACTGGAAATATCTCCATGATTAATTGTTCTTTAATTTTCACAATATGAGAATTGAATAACTATAAAAGAATAAATTCAGAGAAAACAACTGCTGTAATGGTTTATTATATTATAAGTAATATTTTATATAATATTATTATACATATAATATTATAAAATAAAATGGTTATTTGTGCAAAAGAGCATTATTGGGTTTGGTTTATTATTATAAAAGTACAGAAGAATACGTTCGGAATTTCAGTCACCCGATAGTCGAAGGACCAAGATGGTTGGATTAGACCATGTCCACCATTTTACTGATGGTAAAGTGTGAATAAGTGGAGAGGTTAATGCTTTAATTCAGTAATCAACACATTTGCTTTTCGTGCTATTTATTGAGATTTAATTTTCAAATACACAATTATGATTCTACATTGATGGTAAGAATCGTTGAGATTTTATCGTTCGTTAGAGGTTTTACATGCGTAGGTAGCGTGTACTGCAAGTCGAGATTGGAGGTTGTAAATCTCCGGGTACTCCGGGTGTAGTGCGCTTGGCGGAAGGTTACTATACTGAGAAGTGAGAGGTAGTAAATCTCCGGACACTTCTTGTGTAGTGTCACTTCTTGGTGTTTTATTACAGAAGTAATTCAGAATGTAGTGGCGTCTAGCTGTAAAAGTAAAAGAGAATCTAGTGACGTCTTGATGCTGATGTAGTACAGCGTGTTTTCTCCTAGGTAGTTCAAGCAAGTTTTCTGGTCCCCGGTAAGAGAAAGAGCTTGACTTGTCGCGTGCTTGCTTTATATCCGCACGACAGTTTAGTTAGCTGGTAACAATGGACATGTGTTGCTATGCGGAGATTTGTACAGGACTGAGAGACTAAAGCTTTAGAAGTTTCGAGAATTCTAGGACAGCTAGCTTTAGAAGGTTGGAGAATTCTAACCATCGTTGCTATGCGGAGACTAGATAAACATAGGACGTTCGAACGCAAAGGCTTTAGAATTATCGAGAATTTTCAGAATCAAAAGTATACGATTTCGAGAACTAGAAAGATTATAAAAATTCTCTTATTTTTATCTTTACTTATTTTTTACAAAATAATAATAGTAAATTAGTTTTATAAATTATGATTTATAATATTAGATATTAAGTAAAGGTTATAGTATTTATTTCTTCAGAATTTATTGTTTTATAATTTCATAAATAAATATCCACAATTTGAAAGTTATCTACTTAAATTGTGAAAACATTTTAGTCTAGTCATAAGCATTCAAATAAATGTCTCTTTTCTGTGTAATAAAAATATAATATTAATCATTGATACAAAATAGCGAAGCCAATCCTAAAATATAAATAGAAACAACGAAACTAGTTCAAGTAGGAGTATCTTACAATACATGATTAACAACACCAGTATTCATATGCTTTTGTGACTTCCATTTCTTTTAAAATAATCATACATTTACCAAAGATATTCTTATAATAAGAAATATCATTGAATAAAACCGTAGAACTCCCTATCGCACTTTATAAAAGCACCGCCAACTTGAACTTAATGAAAAGATGTTAACCTAGTTCTTAAAATTTGATCAGTTCTAATTATATCAAATTTTTAATTTTTACGTTAAGTATTAGGATATTGATTTTTTTATTAGGATATTGATATTATTATCGGTACAAAAATCATATATTGAAGCTTTCAACAACGTTATATATCTGTTCTTAGCTATGTTTTATAACTTCACATCTGATTACATTATATTTAATTTAATTAAAAAATTATTTATCCCTACCTAAATCTACTACAACTGTTAAAAGAAAATAATTTAATTCTTGTTTTATACATATTCTTTTCTAATTTAACAAATTTATTTTAAAACTTAATACAATCCTTGCTTTTTACCAATTTCTCTTACACGAATTCAAAAATATAAATATTTTAAAATCGATAATTTGTTAACTATTAGTGAACTTGAATTTTTTTATTAATATAGTATGTTACTGATCGATCACCTCTAATAATTAAATATAAAATAACAAAATTCATCGAATAAACTAAGATTCCAAATAAAATATTACATACGTATAAATTATTTTGTTATTAAAATGTTCAAATTATATTTTGTTTAATTGTGATTTTATTAATAATTGTATCATATATATTACTTATTTAAAAATTATTATAACGTAGAAAATTAACTTTAAAAAGATTTAAACTCGAAATGATTAATGGATCAAAAGCATAGATAAATATTATAAACAGAGAATAAAATAGTATTAAAAATTTAGTCTATGAAAGATGAATGACGATAAGTGCAAAACGATAAAGAATGCAAGTGATAAAAATGAAAAAAATTAACAAACGAAATTGAAAAGGAGGAGGAGGGAATAGTAAACAATTCAGAAATAAGGAAAACTGGGAAGAAAGCACGAATTGTAAGGGAAATAGAACAAGTAAGAGTAGTTATAAATAAGACTTATTCTATCTGTTACGGATTGAAACAGTTGAAAGCGGAATACAAAAGTGGGAGACGTATTGAGCTCCCGGACAGTTGTTTATAAACACTAGCCAACGAACTCGAGAAATGTTTCTACACCGAAAACTCGAATATACGACTATAATTCCGAAGAATTATAATAATGAAACTTCCAAGGCTATGCCCGATATTGATGTCACAACAAATATCGGCATAGCAACAGACACCGGATCGCTACCGGCGCCTAAAACTACCACGAGAATACATAAGGGCTATGATTACCGTGCAGCGTCTCAGTCCCAGTCTCAGTCTAGTAACAATTACGCAGTGAACGGGACGGGCTCACTATTTAATCTTCAAGCTTCGCTCTACAGTCATCATTCACTATAGCTATACACGTATGTAATACTTAATAAGCAATCTAACAATTCAATAGTGACGCCACATTATCAGAATCCGTTAACCGAACTGAAACTAATAAAGCGCTAGTGCTGGCACAATTGAGAGTGAAATGATCGAAATCATACTACACATATTAACGGATCACACCAACACTAAGGCAGCAGAAAACCGGTCCCCTTTAGAAAGCTTCGGTACGATAGCGGCAGCTCTTACACACCGACACTAAAGCAGCAGCCACCCGGTATCTCTTAGAGGACTTCGGTATGACAGCAGCAGCCCTCACACATACTACTACAGCGGCACTTCTCGGCAAGGAAGGAATTACTCTCACACCAAGGAGAGTACACTCTCTCCTCAGCACGTAACACAATTGAAGAACTTCCCCAATTTATTAATTCACACAATCATTCATACGCTTATGATCATTAACTAGTTATTATATTATTATATTTAATAAAGGATAGACAAGAAAGACTACTTGTAGGATTGAATTATTTCATTGCCCCTTCTACTTGTCAGCAACCCCTCCACCTACCATCAAAGAGAGGCTTTTTGGTCTGATCCCAGACACTGTCAGTAAATAAATTGTACATATTCTTTGTTTAATAAATCGTGGTAGAGTGCGTTGTTATAATTAATCATTAAATAGTAATAATCAATAAATAGTAATTAATCAATAAATAGTAATTATAATTCAATATATTTTCAGTTTACGCTTTTTAGTAATTGGGATTGAAGCAGTCTTCACGAATTTAAAATTGGGACAATACAAGCTCTCAGACACTCTTGTTTGTAAACACGATTCAGCGAATTCGGGAATTTCCCTACGCCTGAAATTCGAATATACTACAATATTTCCGCATAGCAACGCCAATGAAACTTCTAGAACCTTCCAAGCTGTGTCCCTTGACGCTTCTAGAACATTCCAGAGCTTTGTTCTCTGATGTCACGACGATTTTCGGCATCGCAACAGGCATCGGCGCTGTTACTGGCGTCGCAAGCTACCACGCGAATATTTAAGAGCAGGGAGCTTAGAATATTCCAGAGCTTCTTTTTCTAACGTCACTAAGATTTTCGACATAGCAACAAGCATCAGCACTGTTGCCGGCGTGGCAAGCTGCTACGCGAAAATTTAAGAACAGCTCGCCACGCACCAACGTTCATTGTAATTCTACCAATTGTTCACTCATCTGTTATTGCCCCCAGGGTTTTTCAAGTATCAAGTATCAGTAATAACTTGCGACTACGAAGCTTAGCAGCGTGTTTGGCAATCAGCATGCAATATACGTGCATAATTCTATCAGAATCTGCATTAACAGGATAGTAATTCAACAGTGAAGCCTTTAGAATTGTAATCAATTAAGTGCGCCAGCCAAGCAGTCATTCACTACGCTTTGTCGGTAGTTCATAATGTATCTCCAGTCTGCCAAGTAGTGCAGTACGCTTTCTCAGTGCCTTCATGCCACAGAACGTTCATTCACCTCTCCAATCCGCTTAATTTCATTGTCAAGGGCAGACTACAGTTTATCAAATAGTCGACTATAACTACATTCTACCAAGTCTTTCTATACTTGAAGGTTTATCATTATTGTTTTTGCGTGTGACTAGCTCTCTAATCTCCCATACCCCTTTTGGGTATGGTCAATTTACGTGACAACTACCACTAAGACTCTGTATTCTCTCCCGTTTAAGTATAGTTTACTCTCCCTGCTAAGCACTACTGATTACCATTACTATCCTTCCATGCTCACCTCATGAACATGGTCGACCACCCATGCTGATGTTGTAAACATAGACTCAATATTCAACATCCACAATAATCTCCATAGCATCAACGACGTTGTCATCGTTTTAAAGAAGCAACCTCACCACTGCAATAGAATAATTCCCTCTTTTTCATTTGAAGCAATCGTAAAACTGCAATATTATAAGTATTAATAAATCAGAATAAACAATATATTTATTCAAAAATATACATCATACATATTTTCAGCCCTTCCACTTGTGCCTTTTTCTCCTAATTGCTACGGCGAGAGAATTTTTTTCACTTTTAATGGTAAAGCAAGTAATTTTGTATGTATAATTTAAACATTAAATCGAGATATGTAACAAAAAAATCTTGAAGAGTCATTATCAACAAAAATTAGGCAAAGCGTAAGAGTTGAATAGGAGACACAAACTGTTTAGTAAATACAATTTTTTGCAAGGAAATATATTATTACAAGATAAATAAGTTTAAGCAGATTTATTTATTAAGGTTATACATATTTCTGTGTGTGCGTGTGTGTGTTATCTTTTACTAAAAAGTTTTTGATAAATAATGAAATGTATTTCAATGTTATTTATTTGTTTATCAATAAAAATTATATTTTTTACAGGTGTTCTTGTAGTAAACATTACGTGGAGAGGCAAAACATATGTTGGAACATTACTAGACTGCACTCGGCATGATTGGGCTCCTCCAAGATTTTGTGATTCACCAACTAGTGATTTAGATACCAGATCAACAAAAGGACGAGCAAAACGTGGTAGAACTGCACCGAATGTTATTCCAACCACTGATTTGAGTAATTTTACAGAAACAAGAAGTTCAGTTCATAGTAAATTAAGAAATACTGGAAATAAAGGTCGTAGAGGTGCATATGGATCACCAGCACTTAGTCCTGGTGCAACAGCATTTATATCACCACGAACGGATGTTACAGCGAAAAGAAAAACTCGATGTCTCGAAGAAGATGACAAGAGTAAACAAAAAATTCCTCCACCAACTCCTCCTAATTTATCTCCACCTGCAAGTCCTACATTACTAGAATGCTCAGAACCAAATTGTAGCAAGAAGTATAAGCATATTGATGGATTGAAATATCATAAGAGTCATGCTCATGGGTTAATTGATGACGATGATATGAAGGAAATAATTACTAGTTTGTCTGAAAATGACGAAAGTAATATTGAATCACCTAGTCCTCTAAATTCCGCGAAATCCCCTTCAGACAAAATAGAAAATGTATCTAATAAATTAAATAATAGTACATCTGCAAATATATTGGAAGCTTTACCAGTTGAATCATCGTTAACACTTCATATAACATTACCAAATATAGAATCTCAATCATCTTTAGTATCAGAAAATAATATTAAACCAGCAATCTTAAGATATAAAAACGAAGATTGTACACTAGCTATCGATCCTATTTCTGCAGTACAAAACTCTCAAACACTTTCTCAATTAAATACTACAGTATACAATCCTGAAAGTCCAAATATAGCAAGTCATTCTCGTCCTATTTTGAACAAATCACCTTCTCCAGTAAATGCTAATGTAATTGTATCTTCTCAATTACAGCCACAAATAGAAAACTCTTTGTATCAAACTGATCTACAATTACACAATCAACCACAAATTTCCCAACAGTTATCAACAGTTGCAATTTCTTCACTATCAACTAATCGCTTAGTGCAACCTGCTCAGCAGATGCAAGTGCATACACAATGTAAATTGGCAAACTCTAATCACATTAAAAATCATCAATTAATCACCCTTGCTAGCACAGTAAATCAACATGGTATATTAAATAATATATCTAATGAAACACAAATACAAACTTCTATAACGAACCAAACAGTTTCTCCCGGTGTAGTTTCTATTCATGATAATTTGCCAACACATTTACAATCATATTCAAATTCGGGAGGGCAAACTAAAATTCCTCAATTTAAAGTAAAACCAACAGCTGCATTAATGCCAGAAGAAGATAAAGACAGAGATTTAAAGACGTCCAAAATAGCTAATTTTAAAAAGAAAATACGAAAATCTCCAATAAATAGTCCTCATGCATCTCCATTAAATTCTGTTCTTATTAATACTGGGAGAGATGATGTCCAAAGTCCAGCTTATTCTGATATATCAGATGATACAATACCAGCAATTGAAACTAATACTAGTGATAAATTATTAAAGGAAAATCAAGATAAAGATATAAAATCAAATTCTCAAACTCATTTGACGACACATTTTACTATGTATCCATATTATGGTCAGCCATCTTATTTAATACAAAATATTCAAGATAAATCTACACATGAATATAAAATGAATGATGTTACAATAAAAAATGATTTAACATCATTGAATGTAGTATCTATACCCACATTAAGTAATTTACAAAATTTAAATTTGGATAAAAACAAAAAAGAAGCCCGATCCATACCCATACAAGAATTACCGGAATCGCAAACTCAATATTACACTAATTATAATGCTTATATATCTTCGACTTATCCTTTTCAAACTCAATCGTCAAATTCACAAAATATAAATCATTTATCGGAAATTGAATTTCTCGATCAAAAACATAAAATAAAACAAGAATCTCAATCACATAATGTAAAAGAAAAACATCTTGAAAATCAACAAATGCTTAAAGAAAGTATGGAAATAAAAAACCAAATGAGCCCATATCAATTGTATAATAATTCAAATACTCAACAATCGTCACCAACAAGTGGAATTATTTCGGACGATTCAAGATATTACATTTATTCTGATGAACAGCGTCGTAAAGAAAATTCAAATAAACATAGTGTAGCTCAAAAATCTTCACCATTAAGCCCGAAACATCAATCTAAGCAAGAAAAATCACAAGAAATTAACAAAAGTGATGAAACAAAAATTAAGCAAGAAGGCGTAAAACCAACTATGGAAACTCAAGGTCCACCACCTCCGCCAACCTCTCAATATGCATATATTCACCCTGGATATATTCCATCGCATCATTATAGCAGTATATCTTACGATACTGGTCATCATGGAATATACAGAAATTTGGCTCCTATGATTGTTCCTGGTACATATACGAGTAATCCTTACTTGCATCAATTACCAAGATATCATTCTCCAGAAGATCTGAGTAGATCACCAGGTGGAAAAGCTCTTGATTTACTACAACATCATGCTAATCAATATTATTCAAATCATAAGATTCATGAATTACAAGAGAGAGCTTTAAAATCGCCCATTCCTAAAACATCTGTATCGGCAGCAGGATCAAGTCCATTAGCAGCTATACAATCTATATCAATAAGATCGCCAATTGATCCAACTAACAATAGCTTAGGTTCAATATCTCAGTCTCAATGTGTAGGTAATAAACAACAAAGTCAAAATTTAAATCAGCAACATCAACAACAACAGCATTCGACTTGTGCTGACCCTAATAGCAATTCCACAAACAAAGATAATAGGTCGCCACCACCACAAAGACATGTTCATACACATCATCATACTCATGTTGGATTAGGTTATCCAATTTTGCCTGGACAATATTCCACACCATATGGAGGTATTACTAATATTATATTTTAATATAAGAACTATGATATTATTTATCTTCAAGAAATTAATTTTTCTTTTTATATTATGAGATATGGTATTAAATCAAAACATTTTTAATATAAAAAAAAACTTTTTTAAATTGAATTAGTGATATATTAAAATTATTTCGATTTAAAACATAATGTAAAATTTTTGTTTACGTACCGTTATATTAATATAACATTTAATCTAATATAATTTTAAAGAATATATAAATATATAATTTATATATTTAAATGACGTATTTTTCTTGATAAAATAAATTCAGATAAATATGAAAATTAACGTTTTTAAATAAAATAAAATTCTAAAAAATTATCACATACTATATTTATAAAGTTAATGAAACAAACCAATTTCGGTAATTATTTAACATTTATAAAATTTGAGGAAGATTTATAATTTTTTCTATAACTTTACATTTTAATGAAAGAAGCATAAAATAATCCCATAGATTAACAGTTTTTAGAATAAATAAATTTAAATTGTTTAACATTGTAAACTACCTATATAATCTGTATATACTTTCAATTTCGAAGTGATTTTGTTAATTACCAATGATCTAGATAAATATAAATAAAATTATGTATAGGTAAATCTTATTTATGGATATATATATATATATACATTTGATGCATTGTTCACAAAATTAAATTGTAATTATATTAATAACGCGTTTTGATATTAATTAAATTTTTTTTAGAAAAATCTCCCAAGCAATGGGAAAATGGATTCGGCGTGGACTTCTAATAATAGAGATGGATTTATATATACTAGTCATTAGAAGTCTTACACTTGCCGAAAATAAGACACTTTCATTGATATATTGCAGATACTAAATGACATGGAACTATTTTCCAAAAATAAAAAAACTCAGATATGTGGTTTTGGGATTCCTATTATGAATCAAATACCATATTTTTCTGTAAAGATTTACTTTGAAAAGTACAACTAAGTAGAAATTAACATATAATAAGTGATTTACATATATATCTTTGAGAGAAAGTATATAAATTACTTCCATTTGGCAATCACTGATAATTAAGAAATTGCATTATTAAATGCATCAATACATATTTTTTCTTTTGAGATGTAATTGTTATTACACATCAGTCACTTATCAAAAGAAAATAATTACTCTATTCTATCATAACTAAAAATAAATCAAGTTGACTATCAGCTTTACTACTTACATACTATATTTAAAAAATAGAGATTACAGATTAAAATGAAGACAACAAATTTATTGACATAAGTTTAAATTTAGATTATTTAAAAATTGTTAATACAATATAATTAAAGGAGGCTAAACATTTATATTGCAAAATCATACTTGTGACATCGTATAATTGCGTAAGTGGTATACTACTACAGTACGTATTGAATTCACACTGAAAATAAATACGTCGATGACTGAGACATTTATTTCTCAAGTAACTTTGAATACAAATATTTATTCAAAGTAAAATTTCTTAATAAAAATAATAAAAACTAGATGCATGTGTCCGTGTTGTGAATATTCAATATATGCAAATAAAAATGCATATACATGCGCGTTGACTGTAGGAACAGAAACAAATTCATGTTTCTGTTCTAGAATGCACATAAACGAATTTTATATTTTATTCATGTTAATATAAGTATATAAATAAAGAGACTTACTTTTACTTGTTATTTTTACATTCATACACAATTATACTTTGTTTCGAACAATATTTCTTTTTTTTTAAGTATACACTTCTGTACAATATGATAAAAAAACATGTTTATTAAAACATTACTTCAATCATTACTTTTTAATTTAGATATATATATATATACGTGTGTGTTTGTCTGCATATGAATGTGTGTAATTTTTAGATATCAACTTAATTTTAATTAAACAATTTTAAAAATAAATTAAAATTTTTTCTGTGCAATTAAATAATATACTTATGTCTTGTATTAATAAATCTGAATAATATTACGATAATAATTGATGTCACTATATTTTAAAAACAAAAAAAATTTAATATTTGAATACAGTAAAAAATGAGTTGAAAATTTGTAAGTCGAAATTATACAAAATCATTTTATATAGATTCGACAGAAAATCTATAAAAGTTTATTCACAATAATATATTACATACTTGATTTGTGGCATTTTAAATAATAATATAAAGATTGTTTTAGAAATATATTTTATCATATGCTTCTAAAAAATTGCCAATTTTAAAAGAAATATCCTAGTATACAGTGATAATACATAATTAGTGTAAAGCCTAGAAATTCAAATGCAACTTAGCATAAAGATTGGCTTATAATTATATTTTCTTATTAAAGCTACTTGAATATATAGATCAAGTTGTAAATTAAAGGTTTTTATTATGATAAAAGTCAAGAGTTTTAGAGAATTTGGTTACTTTGTAAATAATTATTTTAGCCTTTCTAAAATACACAAATTAATAACTGATTAAATTATTTTTTAATTGATCACTACTATTAATTTTAAAATACATGTTATTCAATTTCAACAAATTTTACAAAAATCGATATAATATAAATTTCCTTAAATTGATATTTGATTGTTTGATTTTATTAATTTTTATTTATTCCATTATTATATTAATAAAAATAATAAGTTTAATTAACTACTTTTGTTTAGATTTTCAGTGTAAAAGTATTTAATACTTTACTTATTTCAGATTTATAAGTACACATTAGTATACTTAGTAACAAAATAATAACTGTGCACGTTGAGAAAAGTACAGACTAGTTTTATAATATGATCAAAATAATTTGTAATAGTTTGAAAACTATTTAATCTGATGTATATTTTAACGTAGAAATAAAGTCTTAAGTCTTTTTGTTGGAACTATCATTTCAACATAATCTTACCTTCAATATTCAAATTCAATACATACAGTACAAACGGCATAAATTTATTACTTAAACATTATTTATTAAATTTATTTAAGAATTATTTAAAATTAACTTTTAATTTTTCCAAAAATTATACTGCATTAAAAAATAATATATTTTAAAATTTATGTTTTTCAAAAATTATATTATAAAATATTAGTAGGCAATCTTTTAATAAAATTTTATTAAAATACTTTATTCATTATTTACTTCATATTCATTAAACTTGACAAATATTGATTTCTTTTAAGAACGACCCGATAATGTTTAAAATTTTTTTATAATTTTAAGTTTTGTAAATTGACTTAAAAACATTTTTTAACAAACAATATAAGATATACAAGATTAAGATTTATCAAATTTGTGAAAAAAATTCTTAATATACTTGTTTGATGAAGCAATTAAGTTAAATAAGAATATAAAGTTATAGGTAATTCAATAAAAATTAGAAACAAAATTATATAACAATTGAAGATATTTTAAAGCCCTGTTTGGTATACCTAAATATAAAAATTTTAATGTTTTGGTAGAAATAGATGATATTTATCAATATTTTCTATAATCAGTAGTGATTTTCTCTCTGTATTATAACGTTATGAAAATGTTCCTTTTAAACTTTCTGTAGACAAACGTTTAATTACAAATGAAGTCGTAACATGTACATCTTTTAAATATTTTTTAAAAGTTAAATCCAATAATGATATAAATTTTTCTGGTATTCTTTTGATTGTTGTTAAAAAGAAAGAACGAATTTTATGAAAGTAATCCATTAATTTTTTATTATATCTGTAAAAATTAATAAAATCCATAATTTTATTTTTAAAAGATTATAATTTTGTTATCTCTATTGCATACTGCAATTAACTGCAATTATTAAAATGGAATTTTAAAATGGTAGTTGATTTATGAATACAAATTTATTTTTACGTATATCTAGAATAAAGACCATTTACTTCAGCATATTCATAAAAACCACCAACTGTGCCGATACATTGTAAAAATATACTTAACAATTAGTGATTCATAAAACTGGAAAACCTTTTTTTACATTATCAAAAATTATGGCTTCTGTAGTTACATTCCAATATCGAGTTGTAATGAAAAGATGTTTCTTAAAAAATTAATAATTATTGCATAAATGTACTAAATTATATAAATTGATGTATATTAATTTTAATGTTTACAAAATTATTGTTACTTTTGTATATAAATATTTATACAATTATAATTACTATAAAAAAATCAGATTTTTATGAATTTTCTAAATTAAAAATATATTATTTAATAACAATCATATGTAAATTCTACTTTCTTATTCAATAATTTTTTAATATATTTTTTATCAAATATAACAATCTATAATAAACGAACTTTCTAACAATGATAGTTTTAATCTCCGAATTTCACGATCATTCCAATAATTTGGAATGGTAAAAATCGAACTTTATATAATAATTAAAAGTATAAAATAAAATTGTAGACAATAATCGTAATATCAAGCGAAATTCTATAATAATGTTGCTAATGTAAATGTCTCTAAATTTGATATTTTCGTTTGAGTTAAAAAGTATTTTAAATTTTATAATATTCGTAAAATTCAGATTGCAAATTTTGTGTGTTTGGATTTAGACAAATTGGTAATATATGTCAATTTATTAAATTCACTAAAACATAATATTAAAATAAAGATATCAGCCGCATCGTCGACTTTTTAACCGTTCATTATTAGACGTGATCCAAATGAGCTGCAAAAATATCAAGTAAATAATAATTCTTTTGTCATTGTCAATAAATAACAATCTCCAAAAAGGTGTAAAAGAAAACCACAAATTATTGATAACAGATCACAGATATTGATAATTTTTTGTTAGACGTTATTTTATCCATTTCATGGTGGCCCTGTATTACAAGTAACCAAACATTTTATTTATGTAAAATGATGCAAAAATGAAATCAATTGATATTATTGGTTATTAAATATTAATCATCGGGGATTAAAACAAAAGTCAAGGCTACTAGCACATGCTGTTATGCATCGACTATCTGATATTAACGATAACCTTATGCTTACCGAAAAGGATCATCGAGTATTCTAAACTAAAAATAATGCTGGCAAATAACGCTTGTACGTTTAATATACTTAGTTATTAAAACAATTTTCAAAATAATATTATATTGATGTTAATATTCTAGACTGATATTTAAATAACTTCTTTATTTTAAAAATTAATTGATTAAATTATGAAGTGCGAATTACTTTACAATTCATAAATAAAATCGGAATTATAATTTCTTAAAAGAACATTAAAAGCCTAATTGAACTTGCATGGAAAAGTCCAAAAACTTTATTTGAAAATATACGAAAATGTATAAAATTTACTATGTTTTAAAATATTAAATAGGCTTTAGATTGTATAATTTAATATATTTGTATAGAATTACGTACATCTGGGTGGATGGACCAAGCTGTTTAGGATTATTTAGGAGAAAAGTGTGGATAAGTGGAAAAGGTAGCGCTTCAATTCAGTATTCAACACATCTGCTTTTCGTACTTGTTATTGCGTTTTATTTTCAACTACACTATAATGATTCTACGTTAACGATGAGAATCATTGAGATCTTACCGTTCCTTGATGGTTGTTACATGTAAATCTCCAGATCCTCTTGACGTGGTGCGCTTGGTTATCGATGTTTACATGAAGAAGTGTGAGGTCGTACATCTCTAGACACTTATTTGTGTAGTGCCACGAGTATGAGGGAGTGCGTGTGGCACCGAGTTCCTTGACGTCCCCACTGTTAGGGAGCAACTTCCTTGGCATATTCTTTCTGACCATATTCTTTCCATGGCGTCCCCACTAAGGGAGCGCTTGTGTTTCTGAGTGACTAGCCCACGGCTGAATAGCTCCTATCTCGTGGTGCGCTCGCCTGAAATATGTTATTCAGATTTTTTGAGGCCTTCGGTTCTCGGAAATTTTTTAAGCTTTCTAGTCCTCGAATATTTGTAAACAGATAACAAGCAGAATTCTCGAATATAGCTCAAAGCTTAAATTCTCGAATCTTCCAAGGCGTCGCTTTCGCCGAATTCTCGAATAGCTCAAAGCTTATATTCTCGAACGTTTTGC